TATAGTCATATCGATTGGACTATTGGATCTAATAATATCCTGAATGATTCAAATGTTAATAATTGGCAAGTTATTAATGGGAATTAATCCCATAACCAATTCGCAAACCTAAATTTTATTTTAGAAATTATTATATCTAAAATTAATAATTATTTTAGAGCCCTACAATTCTTCTTTCAGGTCAAATCAAATTTAAAAATACCTTTTATATTTTATTTTGTAATCAATGAGATTTTTTTTATTCTGAACGTAATTATTAGTCTGAAAAATAAATAAAACCCGAGTTAAAAAATATTTGAAAAAATTAAATTTTACAATTTACTAACAAAGGTAATGATTTGACTTATGTAAATATACTTCCGATTTGTTCATCATGATTTTAATTGTTTGGGGTGTGTTCTCGTTTGAATACAAACTTATGCTGACGTTTAACTTTATCTGAGTTAAATTAGCTGCATTATTAGGATGTTGACTGAAAATATGTCTTTTAAGATTAGCTATAAAATGCACATATATATCAATTAGGAAGTTAATAAATCATTTTTAACTAGGTAGGCCGAATGCGAAAATAAAACAATTGATGGTTGTTAAAAAAAGATAATCGGTACCGAACTGATTAATTCCGCTTTAACTCATTTGTGAACTATAGATTAGGTAGTCTGGTGAATGACTTTAAAATAGGAAAAAATAATATAAGCCTCTTTTTAATTGACCTTTAATTCACACAGTGGCGTATCCAGGATTTTCCTATAGGGGGGGGGGTAATTTGGGGGGGGGGGCTTTGCCCCCAAACTCCCTTTGACTGGCCTTCGGCCAGCTTTTCCCCCACCTTCAGCTGGGTCAATCTGTGAGCTATTCTTTTAAATTATTCATAATTCAATAATATTTATAATAATATTTTTAGCTTTTATTTACTCATTCGCACTTATGAATATTTAAAGAAGAAATAAAGGTTATAACCTTTAAAGAACAAGTTTTTATAACTTATTATCAAATACAATATTATACAAAAAATTTATTAAATACTAGAATTATAATGCGATTTTTAATTTTCGTGGGAAATTTGCCAATTCATCAAGAATTTCGTTTGTCGTTGGAATCAAACTCTGTGGATATTTAACAGAGCTAACCCATTTAGCCAAGATTCGGAAGTAGTATTTTTGTAAATAAGTTTTCCTTCTCAATTTGAAAAAGGTCCTTTCATCCGTAAATGTTATAATAGGCAAACATGCAAGAATATTAAATTAGAGATTTGCAAAGTTAGGCCCGGCCCGGCCCGTACCCGGCCTGAGTCCGGCCCGCTAATTCTATTTAAAATAATCGGGTTTGGGCCGGGCCGGGCCTAATATTTTTAAAAAATTTCAGGCCGGGTCGGGTCGGACCTTGGAAATTTTATTAAATATATCTAAATTTATCAATTTTATATTGAATTTTTTATGTAAAATAAAAAAATTTGATTTAATTTATTGAAACTAAACGCTATATAACATATGTCTTTTATTTTAAGTAATTATAAAAATTAATTTCTATATTTAAATAAATTCGGGCTTGGCCTGGCCGGCAAAACTTTTTAAAAAAATTTCGGGTTCGGGTCTGGCCGGCAAAACTTTTTTAAAAAAAATTTCGGGCCAGGCTTGAAAAATTAGGCCCGATGCAGATCACTCTATTAAATACCTTCAAAATATTTGGAAATTAAGCCAAGGTTTCCTTATACCGATTGAGCGCATAAACATGCTCAGGTAAAATAATAAACGTAGTAAATATTTATACCACAATTCGATTTCACTGATTAAATTGATTTCAGGAATAAAATTTTCAAAATATTTAATTTTACCAATAATGGCATCAGAAAACGAAGGGTATTTAGGTAATAAAATTTGTAGATTACCAAAGACATGTTTTTTATCTAAAAACCATACTTTAATTTGCTATAAAAAGTATCTTAAGAATGGGATGAAATTGGATATTTTATAATATTCTATAAGATTTAGTTTTTGATTTAACGTCTATATAAATATTATAAAATATTCATCTACATTCATTCTTCCTGTTCACATTTTACTCCAAATCAATAACTTAAACCAAATAGAAATTTGGTTTTTATAAATTTCTACATAGTAGTGAGCTATAGGAAAAGAATTTATTAATGCAACTAGCAGTTAGGATAAACTCTGCTTGATATTGAGAAATTTTGACGGGACAGGGGGAGGGGGTGGGAAGTAAAATTTTTATTAGCTTAAAATGATATTTAAGAAAACAATCAAATTTGCGATGGGGGGTAAAATTCCCCCCCCCCCCCCCCATTGGTTACGCGTCTGAATTCACAGGATTTGAGTTTTATTAATTTTTATTTAATTAGAATTGGGTCCGAACAACGGACTAGGGAAAAAAATATTACTTGTAAAGATATTTTTCTACGGGTATGGCAAGAAATTTGTAAAATTTTTAAAATTGAAAGTCTCTTAAAACGATTAGCTTAAATATACAAAAAAAGTTTAAATAATTATAAGAATTTGGGTTGTAACTATAAAAACCAATTATAAAAACAAAATTTATTAAAATATCTCACATGGAATTGATTTAAGATTTTTTTATGGAATGAGCTGCATGTTGCATAAATATTGTCTTGGTCATATAAAAAAAATTCGATATAATCAAATTTCTCTTCAATCATGATTAATAATTTAATTAAAAAATTTTTTTTTATTTAATAAAGAAAATATATTTGAAAGAAGAAATTAAATTATGATTATAATAAATGGAGTATTATTATTTTTTTTAAGTAAAATGAATTGAAATAAAAGCAGGCGAGGAACGGCGATGATTAAGCTAAAAAATAACTAAAAATATTAATATTTTTAGAAAAATAAAAAAACTTCTAAATAAAATCATATGCAACAATCCGTTCGGACCGGTCGGATCAACAGTCCGTTCCGACAACATGGTCTAATGATCTGGTCCGACCGAAGACCGATTAAAGAAGATAAAAGTTTACTATGAATTGCATTTTAGTTAATGTATATGAACAGATAAAATATGATTATTTAATGCTTATAACTTTATAATATCTTATTCAACATTTAATATTTATACCTTCCGTTTCATTCAATTCATTCGTCAAGTAATTTGTAGGGTAATTTGTATTGTATAATATAATAAAAATGTTTCAAGGATATAATTAAAATATTGGTAATAATAACATTTTTCATTTTTAATAAATTTAACTCAGAATAAAACTTTTATGACTTAATAAGGAAACATTTTTTTAGATGGGACCGTGGGACCTTCTGGTCTCACTTGACTAAACAGTCTATAGTCCGGTCTCATTTTAGAAAAAAAGGGCCGGACAGGACCGTTGCAAACACTACGAAATCCTTTTTAAAAATAAATTTGGCTCAATTAGAGATATGCATCGGACCTAATTTTCAAGCCTGGCCCGGCATAAAATATTTTTAAAAAAATTTGTTCTGCCCGGCCCGATCTTGAACAAAAATTTTTTATTTGTCTCAAAAAGCCCGACCTGAAATAAAAAATTAAGATTATTTTTTATTTTTTTGCAAAGCCCTGCCCCAATTTAATATATGGAAATATTTAATAGTTTTTTATTGTAAAAATAATATTCTATAAGTAAAAATTATAGCACCTTGTTTCTTGCAAGAATATTAAAATATATCAATTTGTTTCACAAAATTTAATGATATCTTATTTAAAAATTAAGCCCTCTATAATTGATACGATTATTATAACTTCATTTGCAAACAGAATGAGATAATGAGAAAAATATAATTGCAAATCTTTTCGAAATTGCAACAGTTATCTTCTACTTTCATAATTCTTTATTATTAAATGTGTATTGAGACTGATAGGGGATTTCTTAATAATTTTAATAATGATATCATTTTAAAATTTATATAACTTAGCTAATATAGTATGGCCATAAATTATAAAATTCTCTCTTTTTATTGGTTATCAGACAAAACATTGCAAATTTAAGATCAGAGGGTTTAATAGAAAGACGGATTTAAATATATTAATTTTGAAATTTCTTTTTTTGGGCATAATTTACACGATATTATTATATTTTTAAAAATTAAGCTTTAATTGCAAAGATTGGACTATGCAGAGACCCCAATCATTTTAAAAACTTTAGTACTTAAAATTCTTTCGGTATTTTTGCCTGGATCTTATTGCAAAATTAATTTTGATTTTTTTTCAGTAGTTAAATAATTATAAGGGTTTTTTTAGAACTTATCACACAGACACCACATAGATTATCCGTATAAATTTTTTCCATATTGTTATATTAAGATACAATTTTTTATACATAATTTTTATTAATAAAAAATTCCAATATTATATTAATATTTGGACCTTAGATAAACATGATGCAGTGATTTAATCAATATTTAATTTTTTGATAAATCAAAATCATTAACTTACAATTTTTAAATATATTTTTAAATTATGAAAGCTACAAATAAATTTGATTTTAATATGAAATGTTTCTAAATTGGGATTTCAGGGTGCATCACCTAGTCTCACGCGTGATTTCTTCACATATGGCAAATTATTTATAAAAAAATTAGAATGTGGAAGATTTTCTGTTTGTTTATATGGTATACTTCGTAAATTTCCAAAATCTGGCTGTGATGAGTTTAGTGTGGCATATTTTGATTTATTTAAAAAATTGTGGCACTACTAATCAATGTGGCAGACTTGGAAATCATGCAAATATGGCTCATTGAGCTAGCTTGATTATAAATCTATTTGTCCTTTCAAAATTTGGCAGTGGTATACTAATATCCCTTCATTGAACAGGTGGAAAAAAATCGCACGAGAAAATATGTGGGGTACCCTCAGACCGCAATTTAGAAACGCTATATATTGAATTCAAATTAATTTGTAGCTATATTTTAAAAATATTTAAATATTAAATATTATAAAATGATATAAAAAAATGAAATTATGATTAAATCACTGATACATCTTTTAGATTTACAGTAAACAAAATATTTCCTCAAGGAGCTTAAATATATAATATTATTTACCTCGTTAAAAACGTGTAATTTTTGTTATGGGGTCCTTTAGATGTACTAGAAGTTCTTTAGCCGTTTTGAACATATTTTACATAGTAAACATTAGCAAATATTTATAAATAATGTTTAATAAATTATAGATCATTGCTTTTATTTTAATAAGTGTAGCTACTTATGGCAGATTTTCAAACAAAATAACAAATATTGCAATAATTGGAGGCATTGTAGCATGTGGTGTGTTTTTATTATTTTTAGCTATCGTAGGTTTATTTGGAACATATAAACATCATCAAATCATACTATTTTTTGTATCCTTTTTTTACAAACACATTTTATATTAATTACATTACAATAATTAGTTTATATTTTCTTAACTCTTATCTCAAAAAAGTATATGATTATACTCTTCACATTATTTGTTGTACAATTCTCGATTGCTTCAGCATGCTTGGGTTTTGGTATGTATCGACAACAAAATCTGGCAACTAGAGGTTGGTTATTGGCAAATGACAATGTTAAGGCAAATGTTCAAAAATATTTTGACTGCTGTGGTTTTATTAATAATTCAAATATATTTGAACCGTCTGCGACAAACCCATTAGGTCATCCAACCTGCAGCAAAGTATATTATATTAGATTTATATTTTATTTTTTAAATTTTATAAATAGTTTGAATAAATAATATACTATTGAAATACCTGATTTAAGGTCCTATAAATTAATATTATTAAGTCAATGTTTACCATTTTAAATATTAAAATAAAATACTACAACTTATCAGTTATCCTTAATTTGAATATATCTGGGATGACCTCTTATCTCAAATTCCTTTCTCTACCTTCTATAATAGACATAACTAAGGGTAAGATCCGTTTTTCTCTTTGTTCACTCCCATTCCCATTGATGTAATCCTGTTTTCCTCCCACATGACTTTGTATGTATCAGATATATCATAAAACATCTCTTTTCTCAATCACACTTTTTTTTCATTCCAAACACTTTTTATCCTCATTATATATAGTGATTCAAAATTTCTCCATTTTAACGATTTTTAAAAATGGCCAACTCAATATTTTAGCCAGAAAAATAATATGCAAGTTTGAATATTTTACTCATAGATGTCGCAAACGTTTAGAAATCTTATTAGCTAAATAGAGGCATTATTCAGGCTAAAATTTTAAGTTAGCTTTTTTTAAAAATCAGCTCAAATGGAGAGATCTTGCATTACTAATTATAATATATATCATAAAAGTTCTTCAAGAATGAGTGGGCCATGAAAAATTAATAAAATCTACCCTTGGACTAAGGACTGAAAAGGATATTATATTTCCATTCTATTCCATTGCTTAGAGTAAGATATATATGAATTGTTGGAGTCATTGCTAAATGTACCAATAATTTTTATCAATATTGTATTAATACTCACTGGTATCTATATTGAACTGGTGTTCATAGTATTGATTAGTATCTATTGGCTGATCAATTTTATCCAATACCAGTAGTTGATACTCAGACTGATAACTTATGCTATTAAATTTTTTTTAGCCTATTTATGAAAATATAAAGAAGAAAGTGTTGTTAATATTTTATTTATTTCTTTTTACTTTAATTTAATAAATTTATATAAAAAAAAATGATTAATTATAAAATACCTTTGCTTTTTTACCCAATACATACATACTACAATGATAAATGTTTTTCAAAATATGATTTTTTTAAGTATGTTTAAACAAGTTTTTTGATCAAATTATATTTAAAATAAAATATCTTTTATAAGTAAATATATCTTCCTTAAAAACAATCTTCAATTTTGTGATCTTTAATAGGTATTTTGGGCAAAAAATCTTTAAAAAATATTTTAGATTTTTTTTCAAACATGCTTTTGATTAGCCAAAGTATTGGCTAATACCGTGATGATATTAGTTTTGGTATATTGGCTAATTTCCTGTCTGCTAATTGCTGAATATAAAAATTTAATATATAATAGTGTGCATCCAAATTGAAACGTTTATGTTGCGTTTTTTCTTCAAATACTTTATTTTAAATGATATCCTGCAAATTGGTAAACGTTTTTTTGTCTTTTAAAATATTTTAAAAACCCAAAATAGTTTTTTTTTAAAATTATTAATAAAATAATAATCACGGACGATAGTAATATATATTTTTTTTCTCCAACAAATATAAATATAATAATTTCATTTTGAATCTTATGTCAAGTTGAAATAAACATTTTAATTTTTCAAAATAATTATAATCGCTTAATTTAAAATAAATATTTTTAAAAACACAATTTAGAAATGTTGGCGTTATGTTTTTTTTAAATAAAAAAACTAAACTCAAACAACTCAATTTGAAGTACTAATATTTAAATAATATAATTTTTAGAAAATTTCATAATTTATTTATAAAAAGGCGGGCAGGGCCTGGTCGACAATGGGAAATATAAAGTTTATGTAAATTCATAATTTACATTAGAGCTGGGCCAATATTAAATCTCGAATCGGGGCCGATGTTTTATAAAGGCCGATCCTATATTAATGTTTAGGCTTATTTTATAATTATATTGTGGAAAATTTTTAAATGTTTCTTCTTTTGAAAATATTTTTTTTATGATATTGGTTCTAAGATAGATTTTAAATAAAAATTAATCTAAATAAATATATCGGATCGGTTTTATATGAATATCGAACCAGTGAAATATTTGTGGATCGGTAAACTCTAATTAATATTATTTTTATTTGTACCTTTTACAGCCCAATTTTTGCCTTTTTTTTAAATTTTAGCATAGATTGATTAATATAACTGTATTCAAAAACATATTTGCCTCTACCTTGGCCTGTTGTGTACAGTTTTATTTTAAATATTTTTTTTCAAGGTTAAAAATATATTTTGGCTATGAATATTTTAATAATATTTTTCTTACAAGGTTTATTTAATATTTGTTTTTATTTTATTTCATCCTTTTTGAATCTATTATAGAACCTTTTTCTTCCTACTTGTTTTTCACAGAAATAGTGATCAGTTTCGTCAAATCTTAGTTCCTGTACGCCTATAGGTCTAGATTTCAGGGTCAATGGTTTTTAGAAAAATCATTGCATTTTCGCTATTTATAATTACCTGAAAAGGTCAATTATTTTAATGTTTGTTTATAAAAAGGGAATCAGCGATATGGAAATAATTACAATTTCTTTTTCTTGAGTATGTACATTCCTTAATAAATCTGAATAAATATAGTTAAGGCAATTCTATCTTATAGATTAAATTTATTGTAAATTAAGAATTAGTGTTATATAATATGCTAATTTAATTAAGAGAACTAGTTTCTAAATTCTTGATTGATTAATTTTATATTCTCATTTTTTTTAAAAGAAATTATTACTATTAATGTTTTTAATTAGAATTTTTTCAACTTTCTTCATCTGCCCACTTTATTTTTAAATATAAAATGTGCGAAAATGAAAATATACTTTCATTGGAAGTTGAAGAAAAATGCGCACTTATTTAATATTTTAATTTCATTACTAATCGCTTTTTCCTGAGAGACCTATCATGTGAAAAGGGTAACATGATTTAACCTTCTACTCCATACTATACTAATTAAAGCTAAAATTTGTATTTGTATACTTTTTATTTTACCCAAAAAATGAGCTGGTTTTACATTGTCTCTTTTGCCAATCTTTGCACGCATAATTTTGTATTGTTATATTTTGTCCAAAATATCATCAATATGGTGATTTGAGGTAGGATTCCAATGATGATTTAATTAGGTAACTAATTTCGAAGTTATGAATTTATAGAATTTCGAGCTCATAACAAACTAATGTTAAAGTTAGAGTAAGATCGTTCTCTTTTTAACAATTGCAAGAAGAAAGTTAAACTAAATTTTTTCACAAATACTTTTCAATTTAAATTTCAATTGCCCCTTGGAATTCTAATTGATCCAATTAACTAGGAGGGAATTCTTGATTTATATTAAGAAGTAATGAACATATCAGTCCTAGTTAATAAACTTCACAATCAGAGAAACGATGAAGGACAATATTAATAAATTAATTGATCCTGTCAAATCTGCTTACCCTCAAAGGTTATTCATAGTGACAATATTCAATGATAAACGCAATTTACAAATTATCAAAAAATCGTGGATCAAATTTTGTTCATTTAACTCAAAATGACTCTATTTATCGCTACATGCAACAGAATGAATCATTATTTGGGCTGTATATTTTATAAAGTGATTTTAATTTTTATATCTTTTTTTTAGTTTAACAATAGGCCTATTCAAAAACGAATTCGTATCTAATAGTGCATTATTCATATTCGATTCGACGAATTGAATTGAATAATTTACTATTCGTATTCGTACGAATTATTCGAATAATTGAAATAAATTTTCTTAATAAAATATATCATGCTCAAATATATTGACAAATTTTTTTTGCAAATTTGATTTCAAACAGAAAAAATGATTATAATAATCTGATAATAAAAAGTATATAATCAATAATCTGATGATAAAAAATATGTAATCAAGTTATAAACAAAATTAAAATGTATATTATTAATTTAATTCATAGTTCTAAGCCAATTTTTAAGGCAAATAGTTTTTCTTATATTTTTTTCCTTACAACATGCGATTTTTTGACAACAAATTAGTTCCAACTAAGAAAAGCCTTTCACAAGCATTTGATGTTCCTTTTATAGATAGGTAACCACTAGGTGTGAATGAAACCTATTATAATGATTAATAAGACGGGGTGTTGTTTTGCCTTTACATTTTATAATGCTCTACCAATGATTGCAAGCAGCCTTTTCACCGTCTTTATTGATCTCATATAATCGCTCTTTTTGTGAGGAAATTTTGTCAACTTTTATTCTCCTCTAACATAATTAGGCTACTAACAATAATTTATTCTAAGATGTATTATATTTTTATATACCTTTGTTTGTGCAATTTTTTAATATAATTTATTTTGAGATTCAAAAAATAAACTTCTCGTGAGATTCAAAAAATACAGCAAATAAATTTTAAATATTGCTTTAATTTTCACAGAGATTTTTTAAATTTGTGCTAGTCTTTTTATAAACACATCACCTATCAGATTGGAAGGTCATCAAATTGAAATGACAAACGTTAGATTTATTAAAAGCAATTTATGAAATATTCCGAATAATTCATTTTATTCGAATCGAATAAATAATTATTCGTATTCGGATAAAACAAATATTTATTATATTCGAATTTTTTTTGAATAGGCCTATTTAACAATATACTAAGATATTAATGGCTAACCAAAAGAAGTAACTATACTATTTAGCAAAGAAATATAAAGATTGGACTTTTTCCGCATGGTCAGAAGTTGTTTTTGGCGATGGATCTAAGTTTGTATTTGGATTTGAAAATGTTAAATTGGTTATAATGTGTATTTTTATCACCCTATAACTTTTATCCATGTTCATGATCATTGATCAACCCAGTAAATAATAATTTTTTTAAAATAAAGAAAAGTAGCATTGATGCAGGCTATTACCTAAATATAGTTAAAAAGCCCTCAAAATTTCAAAACTATAAAAATCTTCTATTAACATTTTTTTAAAGTTTTGTAAATTTATAATTTCTACTTATTTTATACTTCCCACTTAATTTAAATGGGTCCCATTTTGATTAAAATAACTAACCATTTCTTATAATTTAAAAAAAAATTAATATGCTTCATTTTTTTCTTAAATTTTATAAACTTAAGATAAAATTTATTAAATTTTTATAATTTCTCTAACTTTAAAAAATTAATATAATATTTCTTAGTTTATTTCTCCTTTTTCATTAAAGTATGAAAATTTATTAATTATATTTTTGATATTTGGGTCGGTCTTAAATAATAATTTTTGAATATTTTTATTATAAAAATTAGAATAATAGGATAATATTCTTTGATTTATATTTTGATGGCTAATTTTTCTTTTATTATTTTTCTTCTTCGTTTATCGAGATCAATGACATATATAATACCTTGACTGACTATTCATTCATTAAAATGCATTTTTAAGCGTCGTTAAAAGCAAATCAGCTTGACCCGCCATTTTGGTAACACATATAGTAATTATTCTCATGTTAAAAACTACTATTAAATTGATAACTTGCTTCCTTACTATCTCGATGATCCGGTAATTCTTTAATAAAGTTTGCATCAGATATGGGAATAAATTAGGCTCTCGTTTAAAATTTTAATAATGATTAGTGTAACCTAGATGGCGTCCAGCTGATTTGCATTGATGTACACTTTTAATGAATGAATCGTTAGTCTAGGTATTATATATGTCATTGATCGAGATAGGCTCGAATAGGTAAAGTTTTAAACGTACATATGCTAAGGTTTTGAAAATTTCAAAAAATATTAACTAATAATACCTTAAAATCGAAAATATCATGTATTTATGATTTTAGTAAAATAACTCTCAAATAGGCCTACACTGATTTTTTTCCGATATTAAAATGTCCTGCTTATAAATGTGTGTATTTTGTAGTTGGCACAAGATTGACAGATATTTTTTAATACTTAACCATCTTTGTATGTTAATAACTCTTAAAAATATGTTATCGAACAAAAATAGGTGAGGTTGGTAGCGGCAAATAAAATCAGCCTATGTTTTGGATTGGCAAAACCGAACAAAATTCGACGTCTGATTCTAAATGTTTCCTTGAAATAATTTTGTTTTATAAATTAACTGCAAATCTGCCAATTCTGAGATATGCACATATATAGTTAGGTCATTTCAATATCGGAAAAATATTGGTGCAGCCCTAGCTCTCAAATAGCAACAAATGATAGGTTGATTAAAAATATACTACAAAGTTCCTCCTATTAAAATTTTGTTTTGATAAATATGTATTAAGAATTTAGAATTTTCTATATTCATGAGATTTACGGTTTTAATTATTACTAATATTATATAACCTAAAAGGTATGATTGATTTTTTAAAAAAATTTCACTATCAAGCTGCACTGTTGTACAAAAAATCCTATAGATTCCCTTTGTTGCACAGACGATCCAAAGGCAACCGTCGATAAATGCCCTTGTAACGCCTGTTGGAATAAATTGCACACAAAAATCGATTCCGCATTAAAGGCGAGTGGGGGTATAGGAATGTTTTTCAGTTTTACCGAGGTTTGTAAAGAATAAAATAAATGTACAACTAATTTTATTTCCATTATAGCTTATAGGTATTTATCTGTCCATGAAGTTTAGAAACATGAAAGATCCTTACGTAGAATTCAATGCTTTTCCTCAATAATGTCACATCTGAATTTTAACTATTCGGTCCCTTAATATTAATTATTTAGATTAATCGCATAAGGAATCACAAATTTTTAATTTATACCTTTTATTATTTTACCAATAAGTTGACCTAATCAAATTTACTACATAAATCGAGTGATTATATAGGCGTCGTCTCATTAAATATTTTTTCGTATTTCATTTATTTCACGACTATGCAAATATTTATATTTTAATTATTTCCCTTAAATTTCTAACTTATTTTCACACAAATATGATTTTTGGCAATGAAGAATAAATGTATAATATATTATATATAACATATACTTACGAGTAAATGGTCATAACGCAGTGTAATATCTAATATATAAAGATTTTCTTAAATGAGTACGACCATTTTTTTATTACTAAAGTTGTTAAATTTACGGAAAACTGGAATATAAGAAAAATACTTAAGGTCACTCAGGTTTAGTTCAAACCGCTCCAAAATCCGTAAAATTTTTAAAAAATGACCCGCCTATTTGGCCGAGAAAATAATTAGATTCTATTTGTTTTCTAAACTCGATTTGAATGCATTCTACCATTTTTTTTAGATTGTGGAGACTACGGCTGATCTTTAGTAAATAAAAATTGTTTACAAGTCAATTGTAAAACAAAAAAATTTAAATTATGATTTTATATAACATATTTTGAAGAAATTCATCAAAAATTTTGAACAAAAAGATTTTGGCATTATTAAGTAAAATTTGATCGAAAATCTGCTGTTCTACAAAAGCAATTTATTTTGAAAGTATCATTTCTATATTTGTTTTTTTGGGAACTTGTTGATGAATTTCGTCTTTCTATAAAATGAAGGTTTTCAAAATATTAGGAATTATTTTTCCTAAAGATTGTTTAGTAATAAAAAATTACATTAAAAAACAAATCTAGTTAGACTTAATATATTCGATTCCTTTTTAGGTAATGTCTAAAACATTTTCATATTTCTTGTACAGGTTCCCAAAATGTTTTTATCAAATATATAGCAGAGACCCGAACCGTTATGTATAATAGGGTTTAGCTGCACTATAATTAGAAAGCTAATAGTTCGGTTATTTGGAATTTTTTTTTAAGGTTTAATAGTGATTTGATTTTTTTTTGTTTCCAAATAATTTATCAATTTAAAAATTAACTATTCTCTTCCTTGAGTGGTATCTCGATAGATATTTATATCTTAAATTATAATTTAAAAAAATAATTTTTCAGAAACCAATTTATCATAGAATATAGGGCTCTGAATAATCGGGTTAAAATATAAACGGACTGTATATGGTAACAATTTAGAAATCTCTGGATTTTGTTATGCCCCAGTATACTGAAAAAACTATAGACTAGTAACAGATAATTTTTATCGGCGATTTGAACCTTTTCATTTCTAGCCGGGATCAAATTCAGTCTGAGATTTGAGAAAGATTCAGGAAAAACTATTTTGTTTGATCAATATTAGATATGTCTATTTATAAAAATGTCCACTAAATAATTCAAGATCTATAAAGAGGGATGGGGTTATAAAAAATGATTTTCCTACTGCCACTTGAGTGGTGGGAGTAGGGGCTATTTACGCTCCAATTTTTTGAAAAGAATAGGCATCTAAGGGGAGTGTGTATATCAAGCACAAATAATTTGTATAAGGATTCTTATTTAAATTTAGAATTGTGAATCCATCTCAGTGCTTGATGCAAAATTTTTCTCTCATGTATGTAATTAATTCAATTGATTTGTTCAAAACTGTTGTACTATAGGGGAATCGTATAATTGCTGCGTGTGGTTACTTGACCCTTGTAAAATTTTATTTAACACCATTGCCCATGTACTTTTGAAAAAAAACGTAGGAGCATTGGTTCGTAATTATGTGTAAGATAAATTGAGCCGTCGATATGAATAGATCATGACTTTTTTAACGCAGTTATGTATGATTTCCACCAGAGTTTTGCCATACTTATTGTTTCACCGTTTTTTGCTTAGCCGGTACCATGGTTGATTTGGTGGCTCCGCCATTCCAGAAATGAATTAAGATTTTAGTGAATCCTTATGTTTCCATCCACAGCATTTGGCGATAACGTATTTTTCGAATCATATCGGGATATTTAAGGAATAAGATTTCCTTCTCAAGGTCATCGGTTATATTTTATAACCAAAACTGGTATAAATAGTTAGACAAAGGTTACGATCAGAGTTGTTAAAGTAGCGCGCTACAGCTAATTTTTTGGTTATAGCTAATAGCGGCTACTTTTTTTGTAATTATTTAATTTTTTAACGCGCTACTTTATTTGAAAGTAGCTAAGTAGCCGCTACTTCGCTACTTTTAAAAAATATAATGAAGGTAAGTATAAACATGAAAATATAATATAATTAATTATAATTTTTATTATTTAATTTTGAAATTAAAATATAATTTCAATTTATAATTTATATTTTCACTTGTATTATAAACCTAAATCACGTGTTAATTTAAAATGTCATTGCCTATGGATATCCAAATCGTTGAAAGTGATTCAGACAATGTTATTAATGAAATGGAAGATACCAAGGGAAGAAAATGTTCTTAATAGCTATAATACAAAGTTCCCATTCCCTAGATTTGAAAATTTTTTAAAATAAATATATAACCAAAACTGGTTTCAAATTTATTTGTTTAAATGTAAAAAAAAATATTTCCCCAAATCAATCCAGTAGCTTTAACCTCAAGAAACACCTAAAGGTAAATTGTCATTTTTACATTCTAATAATATTTATTTTATAAGACTGTTCATGAGTTTTAAGGAAATGGAGAAACATCTAAATAATTTTGGTATAGGCGACTCTACATCCAAAAAGACTAATTCAAATCAAATTAATTAATAATGCAAATGACAATATTTATCAGAAATTGGCTGATAAAGTTATTGTTGATTTTATAATTTATACAGTTCAGCCAATGTCCTTAGTTGATAATCCATAATTTACTATGATGATTAAAACTCTATCTCCCTGGTACAACAATTTTATGCCGCCAGACACTAATGAATAAAATAGCAAATAACTTTAAAATGATCATAGATGCTCAAATAGTAGAGTTATCAGAGATATCATATATATGTACCACGGGAGATAGTTGAACACATAACAGAAGGTAAAAACTTATTTATATTTATAAATTGATCTGATTAAATATTTTTGAGCTTATTTGGGAATCACAGGCCATTGACTAGACCCTAGAACTTTAAAAAGAAGATCTGTGGCATTATCCCTAAAAATGATAATAGGATGCCAGACATACGATGTACTTGCAAATAAAATTATTGATAATCTATCTTATATTAAAAATATGCATATAAGATTAAATACGCCCTTAACCTCAAGTGCTAGTGTTGAGAGATATATTTAATAAGGCAAAACTTATACTTTCTGATCGTCGCTCTAGACTGGGGATGATAATATTGAAATGATTTTATTATTAAAATGCAACAAATTACCATAAATATTTATTTTTATTACATAAATTTTTTTATAATCAAAACTAACTATATTTTAATATTTATAAATGTTGATTTTTATATATTTACTATACAATAACATCATAAGCAAAAAATAAAAAATTTGTTTGTAAATTTTTTATACAAATACGTATCTCTGGTTACGATTTTAAATATTCCTTGATGTTGATAGGTCTTAGAGCTCCGACAGAAGTTACGGGGCTTAATGCCAGAAAAATTAATAAACCACAAAAATACTATTAATAGACTTTCTGAATTATAAAATATATTAGAATTAATTACAAATAAAATATACGATGATCGTAATCAAAAATAATGTCGGTTTTATATAGAAAATAAAAGGCACATAAATTTGAACAAAGTTAAAAAAATAATAAGATGTGTTAGTTTATCTTATATAATTGAGGAATAAAACAAACTTGCCTAAACTTCTCGGAATCTAATTATATCCCCGTATTTAGGACTATCTCAGGATTGATTATTTTAATATTTTTTAAGTAAATTATAAATATTTATTCGAAAACCATATCTAGTCTGTAAATTTCTTTATATCCTGTTTTTTTTATCCAATAATAAATCAACATCATTTCTTTCATATAAGTCAGTACAGGGAAGTATATCAACATCGATTTCAATACAAAAATATTCTCCAAAAATAATAAATAATACAGATGCAACAACAGTTTCGGAAATCGTATACATCTATCATGTAGTTCAATATTCACAGAACTATATCATCACAATGTGGGTCGAATCTTTCCCCATGATATTTAACGACTCCAATATAAGTGCAAACCTTACTTGTGGCAGAACAAAAATGCGCAAGGCTATCACAAGTATTTTAATACTTGAATCCTAGAGGTCAATTTTAGACGATTTGAAAGATGGGCATCCTTATGTAATTCTCAGATGCATAAGGGAAATATCAAAACATTTCCCTTGATCCTTCGCTATTTCAACAAGAATAAGAACATTTCAATAAAACTGTAAATTTTTTTTACTCGGATAGTGAAAAATCCAACGATGTAGCTAACCACATATAAATATAGCTAATTCATGGTTATCAATAAATTGCATGTCAGTATTCTGCGCTGATAATGCCTCTGTAAATTTTGGCAAAAACCAAAGTGTATTTATCGAATTTTAGCACAATAATGAATTAATACCAATTGGCTGTATATGCCATATACTACATGATTATTGCAAGAAGGCAATAAATGTACTATCTGTGGATGTCGAAATAATTGTGATGAAATGTTTTAACGAATTTAATTCATCAACTAAAAGAGATAATGAATTAAAAGAGTTGGTGGAGTGGTCTGACTTGGAATGGTGTGAGTTGTTGCGATATGTACTTATCAGGTGGTTATCATTAATACCTGCCATTAATAGAATTTTAAAATTTTACAAATCCTTAAAAAAATACTTTTTAAATAAAGATTTTAAAAGCTGTCCTAAAATTTTGAAAAATTTTTTCTAGTATGAAATGGCAGAAGCATATTTGGGATTAGTTTCACAAGTAGGAAATCTCGCAGTTAATATTCAGTTGCAATCAGAATATTCTTTATTAATAAAGATTCACAAAATCATGCTACAGATGTGTTCATCTCTACAGTTAAAAATTGATTATAAATTTTATAGCGCTATTGCTAAAAATATATTAAAATGTTCAAATATTACTCTAATTAATACATTTTTAAATGAAGCAGATATTTTTATTAAGACAATTTTAGAATATTTACAATCAAAATTTGATTTTAATAATTCTATACGATGTCTTGTTTGAGGAGATTGTAATCTCTCTATTTTTTATGATTCACTTGGATACTTAAAGTTAGATGGTCCAAAAGTAGAGGAGAAATGGGTAGAATTTTTTCGTAATAACAATAAATCCCCATGCCTGAAAAAATTGCGAGTATGTCTTCTCCTTACCTCATTCTAATGCCTTATCCGAGCGCATTTTTAGCCTGATAAGGACTGCCTGGATAAAGGAAAGAAATATGATTGCTTTAACAACATTAGAGGCCTAACTAATGGTTAAAAAATTTATAATATATCATGCCAGGAATTTTATAAATATCTCAATAACGACGGTAAACGTTTAGTTCCATTATTTAAATCTCAAATAAAATATAATTAACATTATAACTTTAATTTTCCATATTTTTTTTATTTATACATTCGCATAAAATAAATATATTTTTTACATTGTAAATCAAAAATAGAGAGCATTACAATATCCTCTCAAACAATTCAATGTTTATAGGTATTTTTAAAATATTTAAACATTTTCGCCATAAAATTTATAATTTTGAACACATCTGCAGCATAATTTTGTGAATCTTTGTTAAGATTCTTCTGAACGCAACTGCACATTAAGAGCATGTAGTAGATTTCCTACATGTGAAATCATTCCTAAATATACCTCTGCCATTCATTATTGAAAAAAATTTTCAAAATGTTAGGACAGCTTTTATAATCTTTATTTAAGAAATATTTTTTTAAAGGTTTATAAAATTTTAAAATCTATCGATGGCGGGTATTAGGAACGTATCACAATCAACATTGTGCTGACTCAATTCTGTAAATACACTCTGGTATTTTCCAGGCATTATCAGATCAGGAAGCTGACATGCAATTTATTGATAATTCCGCTGCTATATTTAATGGTTAGCTATGTCTTTGGATTTTTTACTATTTGAGGGAAAATATTTAATAGTTTTTTTGAAACGTCCTTAATTTTGTTGAAATAGCAGAGGATCAAAAGAAATATTTTATTATTTCCCTTATTAGATGCATCTGTTAGAATTGCATATGTATGCCCATCTTTCAAATCGTCAAGAATTGACTTCTTGAATTCAGGTTCTAAAACATTGATGATATCCTTGCTCATTTTTGTTCTACAAGTAAAGTTATCATTTATCTTGGAGTCGTTAAATATTACGGGGAATGATTCGACCGTGAATGTTGTACTACAAGATAAGTGATTACAATTGCTGCTACTGTAGTTGCATCTGTATTATTTATTATTTTTGGAGAATATTTTTGTTTTGCAATGAATGTAGATACACTCTCCTGCACTGATTATAATAATGTGATTGAACAAAAATAAATAAAATAATTATCTTTGAAATGGGTACAATATTACCTTATTATGTATTTAAACGCGATACGTGATAATTAAGCGCCTATCCCTATAATGTAATACATACACAAGGTAGATTTCCAATTGCGGATCGCCTAAAATATATTTTTTACATTGTAAAATTAAAATCGTTTGTTTTTTTATAAAATTTTATCTTGCTTACATTCTTTTATATTTAAAAAGGATCGTTATTTTTTTATAAATTAATATATTTTAATAAATCAAGATGTTATTTTATTTTGAAAAATAGTTACCGAATTTGTATTTATATAAACTAATTATAAAAAAATAATAGGCGGATAATTAAGCGGCCGGGATTTTGCGGGCCTTTTTTAGAAAATTTTTTATTTCTACAGCAATTTTCATATTTCTCCTCCAAAATACCAAATTTCTCCCGCAATTTGAAAATTTTGACCTGGCAACCCTGGTCCCAATATATATCCACAAAAAAAACAAAAAGTCCTAGTCTTTTATACCTTTTTTGGGACTAAGAAAAATAACTAGTTCTACACGTAATATATAAAATCAGGCGACTCTTTATAAATATGATAAATATTAAACAAAATAATTTTAAATAATAATATAACACGAATCTCTCATATGAACATAATTGTAAAACTATTCAGTAAAAATTAAATTTAATAGTTCCAAACCCATATCAAATAAAATAAAATTTTTCTTTAAAACGGGTGTGGGTTCTTTTCACTATCTTTTTAGGCGTTTAAGCATATGGACTAATTTTAATAAAGCCTAATATTTGCACAGATATCTGCAGCCCACTCAAAAACTGGTAAATGAATCTTGTAATTTTAAATTACCCCCCCCCCCTTCCCATATATATTTTTTTCCCATGATGGTCGTGAGAAGAATCAAGGGTAGATGTTCTTAAAGAATGACGATTTATGGGCATACATTTGGGGAAATATATTTTTTAGAAATTGGATCTATTTCAATATGTTTTAAAAATATGGTATAATGTATTTTTATCAGATATGTCATTTATGTGTTTTAAAAGCATTACAAATCAAGGCTGTCATATCACTTTGTTTTATATTGCATAGTATATTCATTATTTTTGATAAGTAAAAATATTTTTTAAGTGCTAATAAATTTCAGATTAAAAAAGATTAAAATAACTATTTTTAAAATGTTGATTTTCTAATTTTTAACTATCTATAACGTAGTATCGCCTATATGTATGATATTTGAGTTTTATATTTTGATTACTTATAATATATTTTATTTTGTCTATATAATTTCTTAAGAAGTTTTTTTATACACAATACCTTATAGGAGTGTTTAATAACTTGATTCTGTTTGATATTTAAAAATGGCCTGATTAAGATTATAACCTAAATAATATTATATAACACTGGAGATTTTGCTCAATATGGTAGAAAGTGGGCATCTACATACCAAATCAAGGCTTACTTAATATTATGTTGGCTAAAATCTTAATCAGGCTATTTTTGAAAATTGGGACACTATTGAAAGATAATTCAATTAACAAAAATATGAATGTGTATAATTTATATATTTATAAAGTATTTCAATACCCTTTATCATTCATTTTTAAAGGATGAATGTTTCCTTTTTTATTTATGAAGTAAAGTTCCTATTATACATTCAGAAGTATATTAATCAGGTACATAGCCAGTGGGTATGGGACCCCTTCCCCTCCCCCTGCAACAATTTTTTTAAAAAAATATATAAAATGGTTCAGAAATGTATCTAGTGTTAGAGGGGGCAGGCAAGGGGGGGGGGAAACCCTCTGCCCCATAGCAAGAATTTTTGAAAAAATATAAAAGGGCTTCATGAATTATGAATTGCTAAGTATTATATTTCAAATAGGTTATATTTTATTCTAAATGAGTAAAATTAATTTAATACTTATTTCTTGTATATTAATATTTTATCTCACTAAATTTAAAGTTTATTTTTATGGATATAATAAAATTTTATCAACCAAAAACAATTCTATTTATATCTCTACTAATAACTATAATTAGAAAATTTATAGAGTGTATGAATAGATATTAAAATAGATACATGAATTAATTATTTTCTAAACTTCTTGTGCCACAGGTAAGATGAAACTGCATAAAACTTGCATGACAAGATGGAGCTTTGACAAGTTGTTACAGCATTTTTTTGGATATAGAAGAACCTATTTTGTATGCCCTTGGGGAAATATCAGATCACTTGAAACAAATATTTTATCTGAAGTTGATACATTATTATATTTAATATATCTGTTGATTTTTATGTATTAATAAATTATTACACAACAATTTTATGCAATATTAAGATTTATCTGAAGTTATGAGAATTGCCAATATTATATTACAACTTAGAAGACCAGGAGATATCGACCAGGAATTTCTTGAGATTTATTTGTTTAGGTGAAAGCTAAATTATAGGATATTTAGATTCACAAGCCTCAACTTTACAGACAAACTACTTCTGGTTACAAATACTATATCTAACTCCCTCTGATCTTAGGATCAAATCTTGATGTTGAAAAATTAAATATTTAGCTAAATTTTATTCAGAGGATTATTTAGAGGATATAAATCTGTTTTTAGGCTAATTAATTTCAGGATTTAAATGGTATGAAAAATTTATTTTTGTCAATAATCCTTTAAGAAATACAGTAGAAGTATTGCATACTTTAAAATATATTTTATAAGTTTTTCAAATATATTAAAATTACTTTATATTTTGCCAATGGTATCAAAATTGGCACAATTACAAAGAAGATTAAATTTTTATTTATGAATGATATTTTGACTAACTTTTTAAATCATTATAAAAGGTATAATTTTATATTTTATTGTGATTTACATACCAGTTTATATAGCTATAATATTTTTTAACCATTTTATCCTTAATATTTTGTATTTTTTTAATTTATTATTGTGTTCAAAATTATCATATTTTCAAATATGATGCTCTAACAAATTTTAATGATAATTAGTTATAGTAAATCTTTAATGCTCAAAAAAAAATCATTTCAATATAATAATTATCCCCCCCCCCTTCCTGTAGAAAATTCCTGGCGACACACCTGATTATAATATCTATCATTAATTTTTGTTTTTGTAAATTAATTTGTAATTTTAATAAGAGCCCTATTAAAAACTTGGAGGCTCAGGATCTAATTTGGAGTGCAGTTTTAAAATGGTTTTAGAAATTTGGACCAGGCTTAGTGTATTTATAAAAAAAATTTATAAACATAGACTGGGTCCTAAAATTTTTTTGAGCAATGATTAATTAAAAAATTAGTTTTAATTATATTGATTAATCAGTTAGAAAATCATCTGAGGGATTGTTTTACATTCATTTACCTTTCATTTGATTTCTCTTATAAGAGTATCAAACAAAACATAACATAATTGTGTGTGATCATTTGTTGATAAGAAAAGTCTTTAGCTATGAATTAAAAATTATTTTGTCCATAATGTAATGGGCTACAGTTATTTTGCTTTATAAAATATAACTAGTTACAGTTACTCATATCAAATGTTACCTTAATTTTTTTAAAAGATTATAAAAGCTTATGTTAATATGAGTCTAATTGTAAAAGTACCATGTAATATCTCACAATAAAAATATAATTTTATTTCTATCTTTTTTCTTTTTCAGAATTAACAATATATATATAGATATAAATTAATCAAAATAAAAGGTTAAGTTACAAAAAGTTAATTTACAAAAGATTGAATAATCAAAAGGCAAAATAAAATAAAAGTACATATTAAAAGAACTAGTTAATAAGTATTTTTTTATAAAATAAAATTATGAATAATCTACGCAATAAAATAAGACAAGGTCAAATCATTATTCAACATTTATTTAATGATTAACAAAACAGCTTTATGAAAAATATAACCATTTATATATCATATAATAAAGAATCTTATATATTATTTATATTACTTTTCATCATTTTTATTTTAAAATATTTTATTAATGAGATCTTATTTATAATAAATAAGTAGAATCTATTTGTATTCAGATTCACTACTTTTTACTGGCTTGATATATTTTTATATTAGATTAAAATTTTTTGAATAATTTAATTTGCTAAAAATACAAGAAGCTAGATAAACTTCTTAAATCTAAAATGATTTTTTTAGAAAAATTACTTGCAAAGCTTTTTATAAATTAAACATTATTATATCATAAAATTTTGATTTTTAATATGATTAGGGGAAACAATTACAAACGAGGTTTATTTAGAATGTTAATTTAAAAAATTAACACATCAAGCACTTTATTTAAGATATAATAAAATAAAAAATTTTGATGTACATTCCCAAAGATATAACTATTTAGAAGCTAAAATAAACCTTTTAAAAGTGTAACTAGTTAGAGTTAAAATTATTCCAAAAAAAAACTAGTTATGATGTATATATTTGCTTTTATTATTAATCTACCATTTCATAAATTCTCCCCTTTGATCTTTTATTTATAATGTTGTAATTTATGGAAAATTCTCTTCAGTTTAAAAATGTTGCAATAGTCCACTTTAATCCATATTTTCGTTTCTTTCATTGCCATCCTATCAAGAAATATAGTTATTTCTTACATCACACATGTTCCATCTCTATTTTGACCAAAATATATTCCAATTCTTGTTTTAAAATAATCTGTTTAAGCATGAATAACCGACGATATTATTATGCCAGTTCCAGTTAATTAAAAACAGCCAATAATTTCAGGTTAAGCTACTCTAAATTGAAATATTATTTTTTATGGCAGATTCAGAGAACTCGCGTTAAAAATTTATTTCGAAAAAAATTGAGGAAAATAATCATAGAAAGAATAAAAAACATGGACACCAAGCTTAACAAATAAATCCTGATTTTCAATCGAAGCCATTAGCAAATATTAATCTTGAGTTATATTAAAAACGACAAAAAATCCTACACTAAGGCTGATTCATTGTATAACCACAGGCAACACAATATATAAATTAAAAAGATCTCATACCCAACAAGATTAAATAACTAATCTTTCATTTGAGAACATCGTGGGTAAGTTTGGTTGGGGTATATAAGTGGAAGGCTAAATGGTGCGCATGTTATTTGATTAAATCCTATGCTCTTATAGCTGCATTTATATATGTTCTATTGTCCTCTTCTAAACTTAATTCTTATATTATCATGTCAATAATCTATTAAGGATTTTAATAATTATTTTATTGATTTTAGACAGACATATACAGGTTAAAAGTCAATAAATATAAGATATGCAGTTAATGATAGAACCTCAACTATCTTCTGTTAATTAATACTAGTTGGTTTATCTATTCAACATGTTTTATATTTAGATAGGGGTGTCCTCATAAAGCGTAAATGTAACAATGTAACTGGGTCACAAGTACGAGAAAGGCGAAATCATTGTCTTGACCTGGTTAGCCATAATTATAGATATAACTACATGATTGAGGTGAAAGGAGTAACAGAAAATTGTAATTACAAAGATTACCCAAAATACTTTATAGAATAATATTGAACTGGTATTTATTATGCTCTTATGTCTCTCATCTAAATCCAACCTTTAAAATAATCAGAAATAAAGAAATCTTAAACGAGGTATATTTCTATTTTGCCTTTATTTTTTTCGTTAGATGGATGAAAAACATTATCCATATATTTTTTTTATTCTTTTTTGTAATTGTAATTTTTTTTGAATATTTAGCATTGGCCTAATAATGTGTTGTTTCTGATAATTTATATAAAAAATTATAATAGAAAGCGATTTTTTTTTATTATATATGAAATATGAATAAATGCTTTAAAATTATAATAAAGTTTTTATTTTAAAATTATAGATTTAGATATTGATGGAAGATTTAACCAATGTAGCCTTTTTCTCACCAAATTTTTATGGGATATATCGAGACATTGTGAATGCTCCCATATACCATTTAATGTTTGAAGCTTTTTTGGCCCTATGGATTATCAAGTTATTGTTTATCAGGAGTTACCGTTTACGTTCTAAAGTAATACAATTTTAAAAAGTTTTTAATTTTAGGTAATATGATATAATCTACAGAATATAATATATACTGTTATATTTTATTTTTTTTTAAATTAATTCCTTCTTCGAATTTTTGAAGAGAAAAACAACGATTTATATATATATTTTGAAAAAACATATTTTTATAATCTATTCATTTAAAAAAAAATTACCCTAAACCAAAAAAAGCATGATGGATTAGGAGCAGGAAGTTTGACTGAAAAAGAAAAGGAGGAATTGATCAGAGAATGGATTCCTGAACCCTTAGTTCCATTGCAAAAGCTTGAGAAATCTTCAGTTTTAGTTCCTGAAGATAAAGTTTTAGAGGAAAGAGAAACCAATCTGATCCAAGGCTTTAAAGGCGAATATATTTATATAGGTGTGTTGCTATATCCTTTTTTTTCAAAAAAAATTAAAATGTCTTGTCAGAATAATATGATTTTTAAATTATTAATCATAGTTTAGTTTAGATCCTGTATATTTATTTAGAATTAAATATTTTATAATTTAAGCAGAGATGCACCGACATCTCTTTTTTAGCCAACACTACTGTACTAACAATCGCCCGGCACCGCAAAAATATAATTCATTATTATTATTTTTTTTTAAATATCAGCACTTTTTTTCTCTGTCAGTTTAGAAAGTTGTATATGATTTTTTTAAAATAGATTCTTAGCTTAATGTAACGTTCGGTTATTTTATGAAAGGCGAAATATTTTTTGGTATCGGCCACTGCCCATTGGTACCATTACCATATTGCGCATCATTAATTTTAAGAATTTTATTATTATTTTTCCTTTCTTAAGTCAATACCACCGACAAGGCAGATTCGTTATCAACCATTTCGCGATTTCTTGATTTCGCCTCATACAACTTCCTTAACTTGACCGATTCGGAAATATATTACGATAGCATAAGCCAAGCAAATACATTCAATAACGATGAAAAAACACCGACTGCAAGTAAAAATAGTAATAGTTTTAAAGGGCAAAACTCATCGGATATTTATATCTTAAATCAGAAATATGAATGTGAGAATGATCTTATTAAAAGAAATTTAAAAAATTTTTTTTTACATGACAAAATTTTAATTAATTTTATCTCTTAAGTAAACTTTACTTTTAAATATATTCTCGCCTTGAAAAAAAACTGATTTCATAACAATTTATTGGCATTATTTAACATATAAAAACACATTCCAAAAGGGATTAGAAATAGGTTAGACGAAGATATCAATTATAAAAAGGAAGAAGCATCCAAAGATTATTTGATAAAAAATGATTTAAATGCTATTGCGATCTCCTCTTTACGTCGCTATGGAACTGGATCTTGTGGTCCTAGAGGTTTTTATGGCACGATAGACATCCATCTCGCCCTTGAGAATACTTTAGCATCGTTCATTCATTCATCAATACTTTGTTCGCCCACTTCCAACATTGTTCCTTCTTGTGATTTATCTTTAAATTCTTCATCTTCAACTAAACCATCCACCTTATGTAGTTCTACTCTTCAATCCTCTTCAGATTTTTCTAATTCTCATTCCTCTCTTACATCCTCAATGAACCCTTCCCATCCTAATCCTTCCACTTCTCAAATGGAGGCCTGTATATACTCGCTGGGCCTGGCTACTGCAGCGAGTGTTATCCCTGCTTTCGCGAAACGGGGGGACGTAGTTTTTGCTGACGAAGCGGTATGTTTCGGTATTCAAAGGGGCTTACAAGCCTCCCGTAGTGTGATTAAGTTTTTCCGTCACAATGACGTATCTCATCTGCGCGAGCTGTTGGAGATTCAAGATCAAGCTGAGACCAAGTTTATATATTATTTTAAAAAATATTAGGGCGTTTATAATTAGATTTTTGTTCTTGTCTTAAGCATTTTTCTCTGAATTTTTTAATTTTTTAAAATCGTGAAATCATAAAATTCAGAAAATTAAAAAAAAATAGTGGCAGGAATATTTTAGGTATACATAAACAAAAAGTATTAAATTATTTTAAGAGCAGTCATAGAACTTGTCTTACATTTATATTATAAAAATGAGTTATAAACATGCATGAAGTATATAATATTAAATTTTGCGATATTTTTTCAGTGTACAATTTTTAATTATAAAAATCCCTAAAAGGGGTCCCTTTTTTATAAAAAAAGAAAATCAAAGTTTCAATCGTGAAAGTGTAAGTGTCAATCAAAAGGGAAAGATATGCAAAGTATAAAACAACGTTAAAAAATAAAATGTTATGAAAAAACCGAACTATTTACGAAAAGTTTAAATATTTTAAATTCTATTAAAAAAATACTTTTTTATTTTTATATTAAAGATTTACATTTTATCTATAGCTATTGTTCTATTAACAATTTATAATACTTTATTTAATTTTATATACAATAATACCATGTATATATATATATATATATACCTTTTTTACAACTAATTATAATAATAATTTACAAAGTTGTATATAAAATTGAGACTGTAAATTAAACATATATTCAATTTATTACAACTATCCCATATAGTAAACAGCCCGATTTGAGCCGTTTTTTAAATATGGCTAGCTCAATATTTTATCCAGAAAAATATTACTAAGACTTTGGTCATAGATGCCACAAAGATTTGGACATCTATTAGCGAAATCTCGAGGCTTAGGAAATATTTTCTTGCTAAAATATTGAGTTAACCGGTTTTAAAAAATCGCAAAAATCTAGCGTTTAACAACACTAACCCTCAATTAACCTTAATCAAAATATTTTTGTGATTAACTTTTATAAATAAAATTCCATTTAACAATACTCTTAATAAACTAATAAATGATCAAATTATTCTTGTCTGTACTTTAGATGTCATTAAAAAATTTTCTGAAATAATACCTCTCCACCTTTATTCCCTTATCTAGATTTTACTGGGAAAGTATATGATATAGTGAGGGGAAAAAAAAGGTTTTTGTGAAGGAAGCATGTAGTATAGGGAATTTTAAATTTAAATAACGAAGATACGCTTATGAATTATAGAAGAGAATTCACCCGAACCTCACTCGGTTGCTGTATATTTAGTATTAAAAATCGGTTCTGATTAATTGTCCATTGTTCTATGACCAAAATAAGGCTGAAAATATTATAATTGTTACCAATATATTTATTATATAAGTGAAATGGTAAATAAAATATTAATTTTTATCATCAGTTAGTAATTATTATCATTAGTGTTTTTATAATACTTTCCTAGTTTTTTTCTCTAAATTTTATGGAAGTTGAAGAAAATGATATATTATCACTGATATTACAGGTATCGCTTGTTAAAAATAGTCGCGTCTACTATGAACGAGGTCTTAAAATGATGTAACATTATTAGAAATGCAGTTCCGTTCGAAGAACACATTTCCTGAAGAGATATCTAATTTTTATTTATAAAAAATTAATCAAATATTACATTCTAACTAACATAATTCTCGAAAAGATTCTCATTTATATTTGCGAATAATAATGTTAATATTAATTTTGAGATTTCGAAAAAGCAACTAAAATTAACTTAGTAACAAAATTATCATTGAAATTTTATATTTTTCGTATATAAATTTTGTATTTCAATTTTCAGAAATTATGGCTGTGATTTTATATGTATAATTTAATAATAATAAAATTAATTTTATAAATAAATTAATATTATTTTAAATATGATAAAAGAAAAAATTGTAATATATGTGGTTAATTAAATAGTATTGTTAGCAATCTGGAATAAAAAGAAAAAAACGAATATTTTTAAATCATTTAATCTTTTATTTATGATATAATTATGTAATAAATTAAACAAAAATTTTCGGAATTGTTCCGGAATCACCTTTTTTGTTTTGTAATTTTATCCAAGTACCATTCTATGTCCCTTGCTGTCGGCAAATAGTGCTCAATAAACTTTTCTTAAAAGTGTTCAGTTTAGTAAGCAGTAAATATTTAATTTACATTTTTTAACTATTTAAATAAGTTTTAAATAAATTTGGGAAAACTATCATCTCATTAATATGTATATGTCTCCCTAAATCATGTTTCAATATATACATTTAATATTAATAAGGTACATTGATATATTATTTTTATTGATTTTTTTATTGTATTAGAACCCATCCCAGATCTCATCCATCTTGAATCGGACAAAAAAACGGTGCCCCATTCTTAAATAAGAAAGATCGGTACGGATTGGCCGTTCACTACCACTAAGGGGAAGAGATTTTATCAAAGAAACCGTTAAAAACTATTTTAGAAATATCGGGGTATTATCGCATTGTAGTACAGTCAGGACGAAGAAATGGATGGCCTCATAACATTTTTATTATACGGATTTTAAAAAAAACTCTAAAATTAAAGAATATTAAAAAGTCGCAATAAATAAAATGAAAACTCTTTTTTTTACAAAATAATTTCTTTTTTTTAAAGACACCATATAATTTACAATATATTTCTAAGTGTATAATCATTATTTGCTTTGCCTTTTCTAATAACATATTTAGAGATCCAGCTAAAGCTAAAGTTACCAAAAAGTTTATTATAGTCGAAGGAATATATCAATACACTGGTGAGATGTGCCCTCTTCCCCAAATCGTGGAGTTTAGAAAGAGATACAAAGCTAGAGTATTTATTGAAGAAAGTATTTCTTACGGTATTCTAGGAACGACTGGGAAAGGAGTGACAGAATATTATGGTATCGATTTGAACGAGGTTGATCTGGTTATAGGTAGCTTGGAAAATAGTTTAGGTAAATTTTAAAAAATCAATATATATGTTTAATTATTCATGCATTTAAATCAATATAGGCTCTATAGGAGGTTTTTGCGTAGGCAAAAAATACATCATAGAAAATAATTATCTGTCTGGTCTAGGCTATTGTTTTTCGGCTTCTTTACCTCCCATTCAAGCTTCGGCCGCTAGAGCCGCTCTAAATCTCATCAAGGATAACCCTCAAATAATAAAAAATTTGAAGAAAAATTCTAATCTCTTTCGACGTTTAATGATTACCAGGATCGAAGATTATTCTCAACTTGCTAGTAATGAATATATAATACTTTTAAATCATCTGAAATGTTTTAACAAAATTTTATATGAAATTATCTCTACAAAATTTAAGGTCAACACTCTTTACGATTCGAATTATCCGGGCACCAGGATTCACCACTAGCTTATCTAAGAGTTCGATTTGTCAAAACTGATATCAAAAATGTTAGTGATACTTTAATTTATAGCGCCGATAAATGTGAAATTTTGGAGAAAAAATTTGCTCATGTAGCTAAAGAATTAAAGATTAAACATGGTATAATGGTGTGCGTGCCAAAATATCTGAAAAAGGAAGAAATGAGTATGATTAATCACCCTTTAGTGAGCTCAAAGGATGGCACTGGTAATTTACGAAAATCGCCTCAGTTCAATATCATTGGCCCCGCTCTAAAAATATGCATAAAACGTATGTTGACCAAAGAACAGATAACCCTTACAATAAATCATTTATGGGAAGAAATTGAATATGTGTTTTTTTGATTATTTATATTATAATAATGATTCATTATTATACTTTTCAATAAATGTATTTTATATTGCATTTTCTATGCCATTTATAATTATTTTGATTCTGATACGCCTTACGAAAAATTATACACTTGATAAATATTTATATCTATTTATTTTATATTATTTTGTTATGTATTTTTTCAAAATAATTAATTATTATACCTCTCAACATAAAAATAAACGAGTTGTTTAGTTTGTGATGATTATTAATATTTATAAAATGCTTTTAATTTTAGAAATATAATATTATCTATGACCCACCATCAATGTGAATTTTATTTGTTCTTTCCAAAAAGGGGATTCTATTTTTTGATCATGATTAATGATATTTATGGTTTGCTAATTAATGTCTCAAAATTTATTAAACTTTTTTTATATTTATTATCCCTACCTTATATCTAGCGACCATTTTAATCCTAACTATTCAGAAAACACTGACCCCCTGGAATCGAACCAATGACGCTCTGAATTTCACTTGATATCAGATATTTCTAAACCCTTTGAGCCACAACTGCCATTAAAAATGATAATTTTTTAATATATAATTAATAATTTGCCAAGCGATAAATAATTTTCATTAAAAGGGGTCTTTATTTTATAGTTTCAAGGCCCCCCCCCCAACACAGGCAAATATAACAAATAATACAATGTAAATTTTATCGCTGAAAGAATACGAATTATGAGAAACGTCGAGATAAAATAAGGGCATTACTAAAATACGCACCCCCTAAAAAAGAAGCCTAATTTAAATTATATTATTACAGAATCGTATTTTGCTTCATAGAATGAGTTAGAAAATGTTTTTTTTTAATTTAAAAAAATGGCAACATAGTAAAATTTTAAAAAAATTACTTTTTACATGACTAAACTACGCGCCCCCTATCAAAAAAGCTTAATAATAAAAAATGAATACAGAATCATATATAACTTATTAAAAGGAATCAAAAAATGTTAATACTAAGTTTATAACTTATTGAGATTTTGAAAAAACACTTAATTTATTCTTTTTTGACTAAATTTTTTTAAAATTTTTACTATGTTGCCATTTTTTTTAAATAAAAAAAAACATTTTCTAACTCATCTTATGAAGCTAAATACGATTCTGTATTAATATAATTTAAATTAAGTTTCTATGATAGGGGGCGCATAGTTTTCGGGGGCGCGTATTTTAGTCATGTCCTAAAATAATATTATATCAATATAATTATTTTAAATATTTTTTGTGACTAACCTTCAAATTTTAATTAAAATATAGTTGAAAACTAAAAGGATTATTTTAAATGATTAAAGCTAAGTTGAAAAAATACTTCGAGCTTATTAATCTTTCATTTTATATAACAATATAATATTTTTTCAAAGTTTTTAGATATATAAAAGATCTCAGAACGAACATTACATTAGATTCTTATTCAATTCACTTTTTCAAATCATTATGCATTCCTATTTGATGAATATTATTATTTTAAAATTTTCTTAAATACAAGTGAAACTTATTCATAACATTTCTTTTATATTATATTTTTTTAATTGTAATATTTAATATAAAATAATTCAGACACTATATCTAATCCATCATTTCAAAATCAAATAATAGCGACTTTTATACAGTTTCCCATAGTAGTTTTTATCGTAAAAAGTAAAATAATGCCAAAATTTAAATTGTTTTTCATTATATTTCGAAATATTTTCTATTTTATGACATCTTTTATTCATATTACAATTCCAGTTATAATTTATATTCCTATCAAAATGAAAATTGACCATTATATCCGAAATTTTTCGTAAAATGCTTATATTCTATATATTTGCTTATTTTAATTCATATTTAAAAGAAATTTTTTAAAATTTTCATAATCTATACAATCTTCATGTTTTTCAAATCCTTTGTCGCCTTTTGGGCCAAGGATTTCCTTTTTATTTTGAATTTTTTTTTTATAACCGATACATTTATTATGGCATGTTAAAAGAAAAATTTTCTTTTTCATTATACTTCACAATCGGAAATATTAGTTTAGACACATTTATTATAAGCACTATTATATATATTTTCAAACTTCTTATGACAATGAAATTTTTTTTTCCAATATTTCCCTTAAATAATAATTTTCGACACATCAAATTTATTAGAAATATTATTGGTAATACATTATATGCCTCTTATTTTTATATAATATATGAGAGCTGTTTAAGACCACATGGCCCATCTTTCTACACTAAAACAATCATGTGAATTATATCAACTAGATTTCTACATATTTCACCCTTAGTCGGTGTAAGAGGTGTCTTAATATTTTCAACGGCCGTTCATATTGGTTCTCTAAAGGGAAATCTCTTGCAAAAATTATGCTACCTGACATAGCACTTGTACTTGGCATGACCCCTATAACCGGACTTTTATCCATATTTATGCTACTATTATTATAATTAAAAATTTTATATATATCTCGCAGAGTTGTTAAAGGATCAAAGATCCTGCATTCGATCCTTATTTTTAAATTATTCATTTTTTACTTTTTCATTAAATAAATAAAATTGAATTTTTAAAATAATATTAGAATAAAAAATATCTATTTCCATCATATTTTAACAACCAAATTTATATTAATTTGCCGTTCATTTTAAATAGTATTCATGGATACATTTATTCATATAACAGATGCTTTTTCAAATATTGATTATAAAATAAATAATTTTTAGGTTTATCGATGAATAAATTAGGTTTAAGATGCGAATCTAAGAGATATTACAATTGTTGAAATGGAGAGGGAACCCGTTATCTTTTCCTCAGCTTCGTAGGTATTTTATTTTGTTAGAAATGGAACGAAGAGAACAATAAACATTTCTTAATATGAATTTACTTCACTTTACAAGGACTATTTCAACAATGTTCCACCCAAAATTCTAATTGACTTATTAATCTAGCACAGAGTAAGCGGGTAAAAGAGAAGCTTATTGCTGATTTGGAAAACCAACTTAATCAACCATAGTACAATTCGAATTCCAATGAGAATCATAATTCCGATTAAATTGAAACTTCTTATGATATCTAACTTGATGATTTTTTATTCAAATGATGAATCAATTAATGTTATAAATTTAAAATTTTATAGAATATAATACACCTTTGATTTGTTTATTAAGACATAACACGTTCCGAATGAAAAAGTAGGTGTTTAAATATAACATTAATTTCGAAAATTTTTTGTTATTAAAGGCTAATTTAGAAAATTATAAATAAATATATTTATTCCAGTATTATATATAAAGATAAAATTGTAGTTGTTATATGATAATAAAATTGTAGTTGTAGTGCCATGGGGGGAGGGGGGGGGAGTGGTAGGATTGAAACTTACCTCCTTTCATGGAAAATATAATTAAAGAAAATTTAGCTTTAGCTTAATACTTTTAAATTGATATTCATTGCCTATATGACAGATTATTCGCTGGAGACAAACCCCACAAAAACCTATACCCATCCACTTAAAAATTTTTTGCCGCTTTCGACAACGATATTCCCATATTATTGATTACAAGTTTTAATTATAGTAATCCCTTTATATTCTAAAACGATTAACCTAAATTATCGATACTCTACTACAAACTATCAAAATATTGTTGTATTATAATAGTATATTGTTTGATATGAATAGGAGCTTTTAAAAATATAGCAGAAAATTATCAAGAAATGAGTTTTATTTGAAAAATAATTAATTATATTCAATAGATTTTTTCGGTTCAATATATGTATATTATAATAGGTTATAATAAAAGTATTAAATAACCTCTACAGCTATATATTTTGCTCTATTTCATCTAAAATTTAATTACTAAATTTACATTGCCCCTCCCACCACCCACCCTCCTTTCAAAAAAATTTGGAGGCAAAATACTCATACCTTTCCGCGAATGTAGACGCTGGATATCTCGAATAAAATTTGCTTTCATTTTTTTTAAAATTGATAAAATCCCCTTCTTAATTTTCTTATAAAATCATCTCAAAATTTTTTTCTTCTACGTAAAATCCAAATAAGAGGCACATTTCCTTTTATATTCAAATTTTCAAAAAAAAATTGTTATAAATTTTATAAAAAAGTGGGACGCTTCCTAAATACTCTATAATTCTTATGAAATTGACGTTTATCCTTTTCTATTTCCAAGTGTAAAAGCGCACTACTTTACTAAACAAACAATATTAGCCCTTGAGGGTAAAATATATATCTATTGTAGACGTTTGCCATTTCACCATAACCAATCTTTATTTTGGTATTACATTTTCCAAATAAGCCACAAGTCTAGTTGACTACCTTTTGATACTATTGCATTCATTATAAAAGTATCATCATCGAGTCTTATATTTCAAAAAACGATAAAAATTTTATATAATGGTAATTATTTTAAAATATATTTCGTTTAATTAAATGTTCTTTGTTCGTTTCTTTCGTCTTTTTTGTTATTTATTTATGTAAATTTGTTTATTTTTTATTTTTTTTAAATAAAAATATTTTTTATAAATTTTTTTGGAAGTATATTTAAAAAAAAAAAATTGTATATAATTCTTAATATAAATATTATCCCTATATATAGAGCTATAATTCTTAGTTTCGATTATTACTTAAAACAATAATTCTTAGTTCCGATTATTATTAGAGTATATATATATTATTCCTTCCATACAAACTTATTTTTTTTCCTCTTTTTTAATAAAATGAATAAAGTAAGTGTATACTCAAAATGATGAAGCAACTTGTGAGTTTTGTTCAAATAACTTATTAATACTGTCAGGAAACATACTAGTTGCAATTCCATAACGCGGGTAGGAAAAACAAAGAGTTTCGAAATTTTAATACCATATTTCGATTTAATGAATAAAATTGCGTCATTTAATATTATATTTCGATTTAAAGAATAAAACGGGTCATTTATTAACATATTTCGATTTAATATAAAATTAAAAATTTATTTGATAAACTTACAAAATTCGATTTTTTATTAATGATTATATGTAATATTTCGATTTAATGAAATACATTCATTATACTCTTTTATTAAATTCAGAATTTTCACCTCGATAAATGATTTGTCAACTACTGACCATCGTTCCTACATATTGGATATATTCCCATAAAAGATGAAATGAGGATAACGGGTTTATTATCAT